AAGGGGTACCCCTTGGAAAAATCTCGGAAAAATCGAAAATTTTTTTTTGTTGTTTATTATTAGCAATGTTCTTCCGACGTCTGATTTCTTTTAAAAAAATGCGTTTCTAAAGTGCATAAACTTTTGGGATTTACTGTATAGCCAATACATTCTTAAAACATATTATTTCCTTGAAATAAAGAAAATTTCGCAAGAACGTATGATGGAAATCAGTAAAACATGAATATTTATTTGCAAAAGGTTGGTTTGAAACGATTATGGGTACATGAAGTACTGCGCGTCTATGGAGATCGACTGGTAGACGATGGAGATATTAAATGGTTGGTGGAGCAGATCCGAAGAACAATGACGGAATATATGGATGATGAATTAGATGAAGTGTTCAAACATTTACTTTCAGAGGGTGTTGTCAAAGTACGCGTCCGTTAACTGTTCATTGTGTTTAGTGAAATAAAAAAATGTATTTATAATTCCTAGGTAACGGAGATGGAATTTCGAAAGCTGATTTATTGCGATTTTCAAGATCCCCTCGCGGATAAGAAACTGTACATAGAGGTCGAAGATTTGGATTATCTCGCGGTCGTAGCTGAGGAATATCTCGAAGAATATAATTCAATTTCTAGGACGCCGATGAACCTCGTTCTCTTCAGGTTCTAAAGATAAATAACAATTTCCTGTTTCAGTTCAGTTCGTTCGCCAATCAAATATCGGTTATAGATTCGCCGTGGAACATCTTTCAAAGATTTGTCGTATAATGATGCAACCCCGGAGTCACGCGATGCTAATCGGGGTGGGCGGTTCGGGACGGCAGTCGTTGACTAAACTGGCGGCCCACATCTCGGATTACGAACTGTTTCAAGTGGAAATGTCGCAGATGTACGGTGCTTACGAATGGCACGAAGACCTGAAGAACATCCTCAGGAAGAGCGCAGCGAGCGAGCTGCACAGCGCTTTCCTCTTCCTGGACACGCAGATCAAAGAGGAAACGTTCCTGGAAGACATCAGCAATCTGCTGAACTCGGGCGAAGTACCGAACATATTCGCAGCGGATGAGATGACCGACATCTGCGAGAAGATGCGAGTGATCGATCGTCAAAGGGACAGGAGCTTGCAGACGGACGGTAGTCCGGTGGCGTTGTTCAATTTCTTCGTGCAGACAGTTCGCGAACATCTGCACGTAGTGGTGACCATGTCACCCATCGGCGATATGTTTCGCCTTCGGATCAGAAAATTCCCTGCGCTCATAAACTGTTGCACGATAGACTGGTTGCAACCTTGGCCCGAGGATGCCCTGCTCGCAGTGGCGACGAAATTCCTCGACGAGATCGAGCTCACTGAAGAGGAGCGCCTGGCTTGCATCGAGATGTGTCAATTCTTTCACACGTCGACGCAGGACTTGACGCAGGAGTTCCTGAAGAAAGCGAAGAGATACAACTACGTGACGCCCACTTCTTACCTGGAGCTCATCAGCACTTTCAAGAACCTGTTGGCGAAAAAAAGGCAGGAGGCGCTGGACGGTAAAAAAAGGTACGAGGCCGGGTTGGAAAAGTTGGACAGTACTCACAAACAAGTCGAGAAGATGCAAGAGATTTTAGTCGCTCTGCAACCGAAGCTCCTCGTCGCCGCCAAGGACGTGGAAGCTATGTTCCTCGATGTTCAAAAGGAGAGCGACGAGGCCGCCGAAATGGAAGAAATGGTTAAGAGCGACGAAGAGGCCGCTTTGGTAAGACGTTCTCAGTTTGGTACACCTACCTTCTTAAGAGCGTACCGCTAAAAGATGTTTTATTATTTATTTAACGTTTATATTTATATAAGTATAATTCTCGGATCTTAGATCGTCGCCAGCGAGGCCGAGGCCATTCGTGAAGAATGCGACGCAGATCTGCAGGAAGTGATGCCGATATTGAACGCAGCTAATGCTGCATTGAACACTCTGACTCCCCAGGATATACAAATAGTTAGATCCATGAAACGACCGCCTGCCGGCGTTCGATTGGTCATGGAGGCCGTTTGTATCCTAAAGGTTCGATTTTCTTCTGATATACATACTCATTGTTAAAGGAACTTATAAAAAGAAATAAATAATAGAATACATGTGCATTTAGGATGTGAAACCGGAAAAAGTTAAAACGCCGGAAGGCGTGATCGACGATTACTGGAAAGTGTCGCTTCGTGTGTTGAGTGACATGAAATTCCTCGAGTCTCTACTAACTTTCGATAAGGACAACATCCCGGAGAGAATCATAGCGAAAATTCGCAGTACGATTTTGACGAATCCAAACTTCGATCCGGAAATAATCAGGAAGGTGTCGACCGCCTGCGAGGGTCTGTGCAGATGGGTGTTCGCGTTGTCCGAGTACGACAAAGTAGCGAAAGTCGTGGCGCCGAAGAAGCAAGCGTTGGCCGCGGCCGAAGCCGATTACAAGGAGGCGATGGACAAATTGAACTTGAAGAGAGCTCAACTACAGGAAGTACGGGAAAAAATCGCGAAGCTGGAAGAGCTGTTGGCCCAGCGTAGGAAAGAGTACCAGGCGATGACGGACGAGGTGGCCGAGTGCGAGGCAAAATTGAGAAGAGCCAGGGAACTGATTGGCGGTTTGGGTGGAGAGTACACTAGATGGTCCGATACCGCGAAGGAATTAGGCGAACGTTATTACAAGCTGACGGGAGACATTCTGATCGGTTCGGGCATTGTGGCATATCTGGGCGTGTTCACCAGCCAGTATAGGCAACAACAGATTGACAATTGGGTAGAGATCTGTACGGACTTGAACGTCGTTTGCACAAAGGACTTCCAGCTGACGCAAATCCTCGGCGACCCTGTATCGATTCGATCTTGGCACATTTTCGGTTTGCCTACGGATTTATTCTCGATAGAGAATGGAATAATCGTCACCAATTCTCGGCGGTGGCCCTTGATGATCGATCCTCAAGGCCAGGCGAACAAGTGGATCAAAAATATGGAGAAGGAGAATAATTTAACTGTGATCAGGCTAGTGCAAAGCGATTACATGAGGTCTTTGGAGAATGCGATTCAATTTGGACATCCGGTCATGTTGGAGAACGTTGGCGAGGAACTTGACGCCGCTTTGGAACCACTTCTGATGAAACAAACGTTCAAATCTGGGGGCACAGAGTGCATCAAAGTTGGAGATTCTATCATCGAATACTCGGCGAACTTCCGGTGAGTTACGTTTCGTTTTATCCAAATACAAAACAACTAATTCCTTCTGTACTTAGATTTTACATCACTACCAAATTGCGCAATCCCCATTATTTACCCGAGGTCGCAGTGAAAGTGACACTACTGAATTTTATGATCACACCGATCGGTCTCGAAGATCAACTCCTCGGGATAGTAGTGGCCAAAGAAAGGCCAGATTTGGAAAGTGAGAAAAACCAGCTGATCATTCAAGGGGCTGCCAACAAGAAGTAAATAGCATCGTGCAGCAATCTTTTATTTCTCCAAGATTTATTGTCGAGAGTTATCGTTTCACCATTGCGCTTGGTTTTGTTACCCAGAAAGCTGAAGGAAATCGAGGATCAAATCCTCCACGTCCTGTCCACGTCGGAAGGAAATATTCTGGAGGACGAGACAGCGATCAGTGTTCTCAGCTCGTCCAAGACTCTCTCCAACGAGATCGTCGAAAAACAAACCGCGGCCGAGATCACCGAGAAGTCGATCGACGAGGCGAGATTAGAGTATGAGCCGATAGCTGCTTATAGCACGGTTCTCTTTTTTACGATCGGTATTCAATCCTTTCCTCTTTACTTCGAAGATCCAGTGAAAAACCATCGATAGTTAATTTTACTCTTGTCCAGTCGTGCTGGCGAACATCGACCCGATGTACCAGTACTCGTTGGTATGGTTCGTGAATCTCTTCAAGAACACGATCGACAACACGGAACGCGTCGAAGATATCCAGCAACGGTTGAAGGACCTCACGAAGCACTTCACGTACTCCCTTTACGTGAACATATGTCGGTCGTTGTTCGAGAAGGACAAACTCTTATTCTCGCTGTTGCTTTCGGTGAACCTGCTCAGCAAGCAGGGACAGATTTCGATGCCTCAATGGATGTTTCTGTTGACTGGCGGCGTTGGCCTTGAAAACCCTTACCCAAATGCCACGGAGTGGTTACCGTCGAAATCGTGGGACGAGTTATGCCGCTTGAGCGACGTCCCTGGTTTCGAGGTACCTTTTACGTACACCCCCGTTCATGAATCTTGAGACACATTTAACATATTTGATAAACTAATTCAATTGAAAAACTATAAAACATTCTTGAATATAAGAAATCGTACAATCAGACACTGAATCATACAATAAATGAATTTTCATTTAATAACTTTTTACACTCAGGGATTCAAAGATTGGTTCACGGATAATTTGGATAGTTGGAAGTTCGTCTTCGATCATATGGAGCCTCACACTTTAACGTTCCCGTCGCCTTACCATGAGATCAGCAACTTCGAGAGAATGCTCGTTTTACGATGTATTCGTCCTGACAAAGTCTTGCCGGCCGTTCAGCAGTTCGTGCAAGAACAACTGGGAGTACAGTACATCGAGCCGCCGCCCTTCGACCTCGTATCGTCGTTCGCGGATTCGTACTCCTGCATTCCCCTGATATTCGTGCTGACGCCTGGCGCCGATCCCATGGCAATTCTACTGAAATTCGCCGACGACCAGGGTTTCGGCACGAACCGCCTGTTCTCCCTGTCTTTGGGTCAAGGACAAGGAGTTATCGCCACGCAGCTTATCGACGAGGGGGTGAAGAATGGCACCTGGGTGGTGTTGCAGAATTGTCACCTTGCCAAGAGCTTCATGCCGGAATTGGAAAAGGTATTGCGACGGGAAGCAAAGAGAAACTGAAATTGAGGGTTTATACGAACAGAGTTGGGACGTGAAAGCTTATAATTCGATCGTTACGAAGTTTGAAAAGTTTCTCTTGCAGCTTTGCGAGAGCTTCACTCCGGAAAAAGTGCACCCGGATTTTCGATTATGGTTGACGAGTTATCCCGTTGACCATTTCCCCGTCAGTATTCTTCAGAACGGAGTTAAAATGACGAACGAGCCACCGAAAGGATTAAGAGCGAACATAGTCAGATCCTTCTTACAAGTAAAATCAAAAGGATACATAAATCCGTATCGATAAAAATAATGAGAGGTTTGATGTCGATTTTTCACGTTCATAAGGATCCGATATGCGACGAAGACTTCTTTGAGACGTGTAAGCAAAAAGAAACGTTCAAGAAGCTATTGTTCGCCCTGTGCTTCTTCCACGCGATCGTTCAGGAGCGAAGAAAGTTCGGCCCAATCGGCTGGAATAATCAGTACGAGTTCAACGAGACCGATTTACGTATCAGCGCGTTGCAGTTGAAGATTTTCTTAGACCAGTACGACGACGTTCAATTCACTGCTTTGAAGTATTTGACAGGTGCCTAATAAACGATGTCCTTTGTAATTAAATTTAAGACGGTAGAAGAAACCACAGAGAAATCTTTGTTTCATAGGCGAGTGCAATTACGGCGGTCGTGTAACAGACGAATGGGACAGAAGAACGTTGATCACGATCCTTGAGAGATTCTATCGTAAGGATGTCATCAGTAAAACGAAATATCAGTTCGATCCCAGCGGATTGTATTACGTGCCTCAAGTCAGCAATCACAGCGAATTCCTCGAGTACATTAGGTCTTTCCCGATGGCTACCGCGCCCAGTGTTTTTGGCATGAACGAGAATGCGGACATAATTAAGGATCAGCAGGAGACAAACTTGATGTTGGATTCGATATTAGCGACGCAGGTAATATTGTGCAATCAATCAATTATTTCAACACATTGAAAAATAATTTTTAAACCGTGTCTCAATGATTATCGCTTGCGATTAGACTATTACGGATATCAAGGTAAATTACTTTGATCTCACAATCTTTCTCTATATCCATTCCTTTTATCTATTGTAATTTGTATTATATTTGTATATTATATTGCTGCGTTAGATAAGGAGGTTTAAGAAGGTAACAATTTTGTTTTTATTTTAAAATTACTGTATGAGTTTCGTGTAAACATGTGTATATGCTTGCACGAGTCTAGTAGAATCCATTCCTATTAAATTCGCGACGCCCGTATCAGAAATATCCCATTTCCCGTCTCGTTGCGGAGAGGAAAATCTAGACTGCGGTATCACAGGTCGGTCGTTATCATTATCTCCGTTCATTAATTTCGAGACAATTAAGGACGCGCACGCGAGCGGTTCTCTTCGCCTCGCGCGTATTACACAAAATATAATAGGATTCCTTAAACGTATTCTGCGTGACGAATCGCGCGGACGACTAACGAGGATCCTGTGTCGGGTCCGTTCTCCAATTAGGACACCGGAGGAACGGAAACAGATGAAGGAAAATCACCCGATGAGGTCGTCTACGAGGTGGCGTCTGATATTTTGTCGAAACTACCCGCGGACTTCGATCTAGTAGCTGCGCTCGTCAAGTATCCGACGTTATATCAACAGAGCATGAACACGGTGCTGGTACAGGAAATGGGAAGATTCAACAGGCTTCTGAGCGCGATCAGGGATAGCCTCGTGAACGTCCAGAAGGCGATCAAAGGTAAACGGCTGATTGCGAGTGACCCGTGAGTGCCACGGCCGTCGCTCTGGCTGTGCAAGTGTGTACGTTTTGTATATCGATTCTTCACGGCTACGCGAACTCAATCCAAGGTCTGGTGATAATGAACACGATCCTGGAGGAGGTGTACGTATCGATAATTACTGGGAGAATACCGAAGATATGGATGAGGCATTCGTATCCTTCCTTGAAACCGCTCGGCAGTTACATTCAAGACTTCTTGAAGAGGCTCGCTTTTCTTCAGGTATCATCGCTCGTTTAATTAATAGTAAATAATTAATAAATAATAATTTCACGGGTAGAATTATCCTTATGTGCAGCTATGGTACGACGAAGGACCACCGGTTACTTTCTGGATCTCCGGTTTCTATTTTACACAAGCGTTTCTCACCGGAGCACGTCAAAATTTCGCAAGGAAATATTCGATACCAATCGATTTACTTGTCTACGACTTCGTCGTTATGAAGGAAACCGATCTTTATGAACCGCCTGCCGACGGCGTTTACGTGTACGGACTGTTTCTTGACGGAGCTCGGTTTAACAAGGATATAATGAAACTCGACGAGTCTCTGCCGAAAATTTTATACGACATTGTGCCTTATGTGAATATTTTACTCCATGATACGATCAACAGAGAAACATTTAGTGTATTACTACATTTTCAAACGAATTTTTATGCATGGTAGATTTGGATGATTCCGATGAAGAAGGATGACGTCCCGGAGAGACACACGTACACTTGTCCGGTTTACAAAACCACAGAGAGGAGAGGCGTTCTGTCGACGACCGGTCACTCGACCAACTTCGTAATCGCCATATGGCTCCCGACGGACCAAACGCCGGAGCACTGGATCCTACGGGGCGTAGCGATGATTTGTCAATTGTCCGATTAAACCAGTTATTCCATCCTTGAAATTGTGTTTACTTGTATCTCATATCCCATCGTCTCTCGATCTCGAGATTCAGATACCTTCACACATTGATTTTACCCTTTGATAAAATGCTATTTATACGTGAACACGAGACGTCGAGATCGTTTTTCCCAAAGTAGACGTTAAACCTTTCAAGAACGAGCCGCTACAACAGGTGGCGATAGAGAGACGTCCGGGTCAGCTCGCCGATCAATCGAGCGTCCATCGTCTTTGTTGTAAAAATCTTCAAACGAGCCCCGGGTAAAAAGTCTAAGCGCGCCGAGGTGCGACACGAAGCAAGACATCGGCGAACGTTAACAAGGGACAAAACGATGAAACAGTGAGGAGGTTCGAAAAAGGATGAGAGAAAGAAAGTACGGACGCAGGTGAAGTCTAGTCATGCAGGCTGATTTTCGATACGCTAAACTAGACTGATCCGTTCTTTTGCAAACGGACCCGGCGTAAAATCGAGATTTCTATGCAAACTGTTATCGTAAATATTGCAAGCGGTATCAAGAGGCTCGCAGCAGCCAGGTGCAAGAGAGATTTCGAAGGCAGCGTACGTCCACAGGAGATAGTAAAGCCGGCAACGAGGAGCAGCTAGCGATGCTGAGGAAGGGAAACGCAGAGAGGGCGACAGAGACGGGAGAGAAGAGAGAAAGGTATGGAAACGGGTGGATGGGGGATGAAAAACACACAGTGCGACGAGGAGTAACGGCAAGGAGAGAGAGAGGGAGAGATAGAAAGAGAGAAAGCTAGGAAGGGGGTAGAGAGGAGAGAGAAAGCAGAGCACGGCACGCGGTGGGTATATTCAGAGGTGAACGGGTGGCAGGTCGGTTGTTGGTTCGTTGGGTGGCTGGGTGGCTGGTGGGTGGCTTCAGAGGTTGGTGGCGGCACCCTGTCTACCCGGACTGAGATCGCCGGAGGCTCGTTGCCTAGCGACCTCGTATTGATCTCTCCCCGTATCTCGGCTTTTCCCCTTTCCCACGTGATTCTCTCCTCCCCTGTTTCTCTCGTACTCACACACACACGCACACACACACGCACGCTCATCTCGTACCCCGCTTTTGGCCAGCTCTCTCTTCCTCACCGCCTCTTTACGCTTCTTTTTTTCCTATCGTATTTCCTCGGTCTTTCCTTTTCCAGTCTTTATTTCTCCACGATTTCTTCCTTGGCTCCGTTATATGCATGTGCGTGCCTACATATGTGTGGGTTCCTTCTGTTTGCGCGTTTCGAGTGCTTTCAAGCCGAGCCGAGGAGAGAGAGAGATGGAGAGGATCGGTGCCGGCGGTGACCGAGATGACGGGATTTGGATCGAATGATTTTTTAATGGAAATCCGCGGAGTTTCTCGCTTAATAGTCTGCTCTCGCATAGTAGTAGTTAATACCGTCATAGATGTAACTACACGACATGTTTAGATCTCGTTGCATACAAATTTAAACAATGTACTACAAGCATTAAACATTCATTAAACCATCCACATCGCGACCGGCTATTCGTGGCAATATCAGATGTGTAGTTGAGCGATCCTGCCAGGTATAGACGGACAGCCGGCTTGTGACTTCGCGTGCTGATTGCGCAGTGCCACCGGACGCGGAGGTGGATACGTTACACCGATAATTTACGTAATTCGCGGCACCGTACCGTGAAAAGACTCGATCGAAGAAAGTTGAAGGACCCGCAAGGAGTTGGTAAACATTGGCCCCCGGTTGCATTACCATCCGGCTCCCACATCGCATTGGTGAATTAGATTTCGTATGTGTTCGTTGGGAATGCAAGGAGGGAAGGGAACGAAAGGCTACGAAGGGGAAGAGGTTGATAAATATTCATTTACCCGATTAGATGACACGGCAGAGCCTCGATGCAAGACGAAAGGGCGTAATTAAAGCCTGCGCAACAATTGCGATCCCTCGATATCGACATCCTCTCACGATTAATCTCAGATCTACTTCAAAGCGTTTTTAAATAGTTTACTTTTAAAATAGCGTCTCACAGATAAAGATGCAAGGGTTATGACGAAGATAATGTACTTCAATTTGTTTCTTTTTTCTTGAGATCTCATTGAGATCAGATATTTAGGTGGATGGTGATGGGAATGACGAATAGGGAACCAGTCCGTATCTCTTCCAGTAGATTGCCCCGATCGTGCATTTTCACACTGGCTACTATTCTCGACGTCGACACCGATAACCGTCCTCCTGCTGCAGCAGTTCAAATTCTAATCGTTTTTTCATTTTAGAGAATAATCGACTATTTCCACCGTTTCTATTTTTAAGAAGTACACCTAGGAGTAAATCAGCGAATATACATACGTGTATGCTCGACAGGGACATTTCCCTTTTAAGACCCCTTTTAAGATAGCTATACAGTCAATCCCAAAAGTTTATGCACTTTAGAAATGCATTTTTTTAAAAGAAATCAGATGTCGGAAGAACATTGCTAATAATAAACAACAAAAAAAAATTTTCGATTTTTCCGAGATTTTTCCAAGGGGTATCCCTTCAATTTCTTCCAAATTTTCGTTTTTGGCCAATAACTCCCAAACCGTTAGTCCTACGGGAAAATTCAATCAGACCTTTCTTGTAGAGGACAACGAGATCTACAATTTCCGTGTAAAAATATCTCGCTAGCGTCAATAGTTAACGAGTAATTTGCAAAAAACTGTTTTTTCGTTTTTCGTCAATAACTCGCTAAATATTAAAGG